ATGACCTTGCCGTTGGTATTGTACTTCCTATAATCCTATCAATGCACTTTCTTACCACATAGTAGCACATACTAATATACTTCGTACTATGTTTATTTAAGTAGTGGTCCATAGTCTAATAATAAGTAAACTTTCGGAATCAAATAGCCTTCTCAATGTCCAAAATTCAAGCACAAATTGTACTTTTTACAAATTAAATGACCTAGTCATTCACACTTTCATTGTGAATTATCTAGCTGAAATCAAAGTTCAAGCTTCGAGTGAAAACTATTATACTTCCAGTCATCAAATAAACAATTCAGAACACTATATTATTACGGATAATGCTATATATGTGCCCCTTACTTAAGGCTACAAATAAGCATTTAATATATTTCCTAATTTGGTATTAATTTAGTAAAGTATGACAAAATCACGAGCAAATTAATGTAATTAATGTTATATTTTCATTTGTATTTTTTCCATTTTTAGCTTCTTATATGCAATGTAGCCCTAAGGGCTATGTATAATATTTTTCTATTATTAAAACAATAATTATAGACTTGATCAAATATTGGTCCGGACATTAATCCAAAAAATCATGCGATAATTAACAAGCTTTTTAACCGTTTCATTAATGATCAATTATTCTAAATTAAATTTATAACATATAAAAGCTATTACATTATTAATTATGAGGCTTATTACATCGTACCTTTTTTTTTTTTTTTAATAGTCTTCCTCATTTCTCAAAGCTTACTTAACTAATTAACTTACTTTTCCATAGTCTTACTCCAATGATGAAGTTTTGACCTCTTTAACTACATGTATAGATAGATACAGGCATGTGATAAAAATGAACGTTGAAAGGAATAATAAATAGTCATCGATCGATGCTTGAAATAGGGTTGACAAACACATATATTCGACATATCACACCACATCTTCAATTCTCCACCAATAGAAACATGGTTTTAAGAGAAACCCCAACTAAACTTAGCTTGTACTTCGTATGTAATACTCGGTATGATTGAACTTAATGTATGTTTACAATAAATTTGGTAATTCGTTACTTGTTGTGGACCTTATACATACTTATACTAATACACAATCAGTGGCGGAATCAGAAATTTTACATTAAGGGAGCCAAGATCATCTACATATATTTTTAAAATATCAACATATTTTCTAATTTCTCATTGGATAACACATAAAATTTTTACCTTCATCCAAAAATTAAGTTGCGCTAAATTTTTTTTTATGTTTTTAATACAAGTTCAAAAACCATGCTAAAAAAAATTAACTAGAGGTGTGTAGCGAAATACAATAAGAATGAAGGAGTTTAAAGCTTAAAAATGAGTACTACCAAGTACCAACCATACAACAAAAATGAAGAATTAAAAAAAAATAAACTAATTTATTAGTCCAACCAGATTTGAACCCTTATCACAAACTCATAATGCCTTTCCATAAAAAATTAATCCAACTGATCTACTTACTAAGAATTGTTAATTTAAACAAACAAAAACATTTTATACAAAATCAAGGGGGTGGCCATGACCTTACCCTAGCCCCCCTCGATTCCAGCCCTGACAACAAAATAATTGCAATACGAGTAATCTCATTATCATTAGCTCCATAACTGCTTACCAAATACTTGTAAAAACATAAAGACAATTCGTCCTTATTCATAACCTTTATTCTACCCCCACCCCCTCCCAATGAAATATTTAATTAACCACTACGCCAAGACCAACTCGATCCCTTGCGATTCACTAAAAAAGAAAGTCCAACTTGCCATAGCTACGTACATGAGTACATGCATCTTTAGCACCCCCATGTTATTCACAATATAATTAAGAAGATAAAACTCGGCATATGAATTGAATTATAGTACTATAGTTGTAAGTCTTGTAACATACTACTAGTAGTATATATTTTAAATTTTAAATGTAGAAAAAGTCACAGCCTATGAAAGCTATTCATAAGTATATATAGAAGGGGGACCATAATTATAGTAACAATGTCGAAAGATATGCAAAATCCTAAGGCAACCAATAAGATTTGAGATATTAGATTCACAAAAAACGACCTTTCTTAGGAGTATTCTTTAACCTCTCACTTCCCTTTCTCTTTCTGTGGTTCTGTCCCTTCTTAATTACACGTTCATGTCATTATTATGTTTTTATTTGCTTCAAAATCTATGGAAATTGCACAAACACCGAGCTTGATATGCTATTGATGCATTCATGCAGAGGAAAGAGAGCTTTTTTAGTTTTATAAGACCTTAGATTTTCAACCCAATACATGTGCTAGAATAATGTATATGTGATAATGTGTATTCTTTTCGTCTCCAAATATAGTTACCATTTCTTTTGGATAAAACGCACTAGTATTAAGAGAAGAGATTGTTGTGGGATTTTGTTGAATAAAAACATAAAATTTAGTATATACTTTGTATAATATAATTAGTATTTTATTTTACAGTGAAAAAAATCAATATATAGAGTTTTATCGATTAAAGATGAACAAATAAAGTAAATAAAATAACAAGTTTGTTGAAGTGTAACCTTTTCAATCAATACATGTGATGTTTCATATTGATAAAAGAAGAGAAAGAGCTTATGATTGGTTTATATACTCTATCACTAATGTTTAATTATATATATTTAAGGTTAAATTATTGCATTGACATGTGTGTGAAATTTAATTGTTTCAACAATTTGAGACAAAGGGAGTAATATGATAAAGACTCAACTATCAATAAATTATAGGGTAGATGGGTAACAGCCTCAATAGACTAAATAAGGTCTAGTATGAATAAAACTGCTCCGATACTTTCTCATTCAACATTAATTGTTGCACCCCAACTCATTTTTTAATTTATCTATTCAAGGGTGTTATAGAATTTTGCAAAAATGCTCTTTCCCATAGATTAAACCTTTTCACATTGTCTTCAATACTCAGTCTTAGTTAGTGTGATTTTGTTACAATAATATTTTTTTTGTCCATTAGAAAGAGAAAATTTCGTTGATTGAATTCACTAGAAAACAAAGTAGGTAAGTCATTCAAGATACAAAATGTCTAAGGAGCGACTAACCTTCTAGGAAGGCCCTTCATCTACATAATGTCAAGAGTTGAAAATCAAACAATAACAAGGTATATACACAAAAACCTTTTATATAAAAACATGCAAATATAATTACAGTATAAATGTTTCATGTACCCATGTTCTCTTTGGGTGTTAACGTATCCGTGCAGTATTCAGTTTCCATGCAATGCAACGAACCTATAATGGTTGATTTTTCCACATGTACTATCAGACGCTTTGTCTCTTGATTAATATATTTGCTCATCGTTTTTCCTTAAAAAAAAACTACTTAATGGTTGGTACTACAAAAAATCAAAAATAATTTTTCTTTTAATTTGTTTATTTTTACTTGAATGCAGATCATGGAGGATATTTGACAAGACTAAATGGATAACTCATTAACAATAAGCCTACGATTGATTAGATCGATAAAAGAGTTAGCTAGGTTAATCAAACCCTTTACCCTATTTATTCTAATTTATTTATTTTTAGATTGCATGTAAATATGATAGATGAGTTGGTACCAAAATAAATGGATTGAAGGAAGTACTCATATTACTTACGCATCTATCTTATTAAACTTAATTCTCTACTTCTCTCCGTTTCTTATGTAAGAATAGTCAATAATTTTATACAAAAATCTAAACTCCTTGTCCTTTATCCTTGTTTGTCTTTATGTCTACTTGGTAATACCACTTCTAAGTACGTGCATTGAACTCATTTTAGTTCACAACAAACCGTAACTTTTGCTAATTACAAGACTATTTTGCTCGTGCAGCCTTTATTTTTAAAAGAAGATTACGTACTCCTATACTCGTCTTGGTATTGCTCAAGCCTAGCTAAGGAGAATAAGACATTTTCGCTTCTAGATTACTTGAACTTTGTGTAGTAGTTTGAATGTTCAATACATGCATCGTTTTATGGAGTACACAAAATTTTAACTTATATAAATATAGTACGGAATATAAGGATTTGTTTCTATATGCTCGTGACCTTGATAATAAATAATGCAAGGTTGACTATTCTACACTAACCCTAAATTTGATCCGTCTAAGAACCACTCGTGATTCATATAGTGATTGTATTTTTTTTTTATTATTATTATTTTGGCAAAGAGAACTTCATAAATAAAGAGCAAATTACAACCTAGGCTATGTGATTGCATGTTCATTAGCCTCTATATATTACCTTAAATACTCTCTCTATTTGAAATTTGTTGACACAGTCACTGGCCAACATTTGTTGTATTAGTCAAAATACCAACACTTCCGAACATGGATAGGGCCATTATTATGCCATGATTATTTAAAACTAACCTCCATAGGATTAAATTAACTCGATACTTGATGTGATTTCAAATTAACTCGATAACTGTTATGATCTGTGAATCAGTTATTCAAATTTGACCCACACCCAACCTAGAAAACTCAACATCCAATGTGGACTTGAAAACATGAAATTCAAGTTGAACTCTCATCTAGCCCTTGATAAACCTAAAAGCAATTCAATCCAACATGACATGCAATTCTCTAAACACCCAAATAATTAATTTAACTAACCTTTTTATCATTCGACCTAGATGCAAGCCAACCCATTATTGACTTGACTCAGTTAATTATTGCGGTGTTCACTCAATTAGTTATCTTCTGTTTTAGGGTACAATTACTTTCTGTGAAATTGATTGATATGAGCGACGAGTAAAGTATTTTAAGGATGTGAACAGAACTTATCAAGTGTCATTTGGTGAGACAGTGTAATTATTTACTTTTCATGTACTACTCCTGTTTTTTTATGATTTGAATTCGAAAATTATAGTTAGGAGAAATGGGCCGGGTGATGTATAACTCGAAGAAACAATGTAATTACTTTTTGGCTGTAAAAAAAAAATGTAATTTTTTTTTTGACAGAAAGCATAGCTTAGCTTATATTATCAAATCATCAAATTTTCAATATCGGTACATAAAACCCCCTGAATTTCAGGAGGGTACTCTTCAAGCCACACTCGATATTCACTAAAAGAAAAACTCAACTTTGCTAAGCTATGAGCAGCACCATTCCTGGACCTTTTGACGAAAGAAAAAACACAGCTCTGACAATTCCTCGACAAAGTTAGGATATCCTTCACCAATCTACCAAAATAGCAAGGAGGAGAGGAGGCCTTCTTCAAATGATGGAACAACCTTATATTATCAGTTTCCAGGATAAAATTCCTAAAACCCGCTTCCATAGCTATCTTGAGGCTAGAACGCATAGCCATTGCCTCGCCAACTGCCACATCAAACTTCCCATCTTCAGTCGAACAATAAGTCACCACTGCCACCCCCTCCTCATCCCTCAAGATCCCTCCTATTCTCAACCGCCTCCCTTGGAAGGCTGCATCTGAATTTAGCTTGTACAGTCCAGAAGGGGGGCCCTTCCATCTTGAGCAAGGATGTTGCTCATTCGGCATTTTATCTTCAGGGGCGTTGGCTGCTTCAAATTCTTCCACCACTACTAGAAATAGGGCAATTTACGACGGACGTGTTCTGACGGACACGAAAATCCGTCGGAAAAAACGTGATTTCCGAGGGATTTAAGTTCCGTCGGAAATTTCTGACGAATTTAGATTATCCGTCGGAAATTTCCGACGGATTTAGAAAAAAAAAAACGGATTAAAAAGCAAAAACCCTACTCTTACCCCCTTCACCCTCTTTTCTCTTTATCTCTCCTCTCTTCTTTCCTCTTCCCTTCTTTCTCCTTCCTCTCCTCTTTCCTCTTCCCTTCTTTCTCCTTCCTTTTCTTCTCCTTCTTTCACCTTCCTTCTCCTTCTATGACGGCGGTGCCCCTATTCTTCCTCTCCTTCCTTTCCTCTTCCCCTCTTTCTCTTTCCTCTTCCCCTCTTTGTTTTCATTTTCAGTTTGGGTTATTTGGGTTTCAATTCAAAGTAAATTAAGATTCTCAAGAAAATCAAGGTTTTCATGTCAAAATCGACCATGAAAACTCTAGATCTAGAGTTTTCATGGTCGAATTTGACCTTGTAAACCCAATTTTGACGGTTTTTTTTTGTCAAAATTAAGGTATGTGTCTTTTTTTTTCTTCTTAATTAACTTGTTTATTTTTCTGATTTTTTTGAATTATGGTGTTGTTGAATTATGGATTTTTTTTTGATGTTTTTTTGGGTGGTTTCGGTGGTTGTTTTGGGTGGTTTCGGTGAGGTGGGTGGTGGGTTTGGGGAGGTGGTGGAAGGTGGGTTTCAGGGTGGTTTCAGTGGGTTTCGGGGAGGTGGGTTTCGGGGAGGTGGTGGTTTCTGGGTTTCGGGGAGGATTCGGGGAGGTGGGTTTCAAGGTGGTGGTTTCGGGGAGGTGGGTATGGTGAGGTGGGTTAAGTTAGGGAAGTGGAGAGGCGGGTTAAGGTGGTAGGGGGGCTGCTAGGGGGGTATCTGTGTGGGTGGTGGTTTGGGTGTGTAGGGGGTCTATGTGGGGGGGGGGGGGGGGGGGTGGGCTGGTGGCGGGGGTGGGTTTGGGTGGGGATTTTTTTTTTTTATTGACTTTTCCGACGGAAATTTCCGTCGGAATTAAGTAGATTCCGACGAAAAATTCCGTCGGAAGTGGTTTATTCCGACGGAATTTTCCGTCGGAAGGTAACTCATACCGACGGAAAAGATCCGTCAGAACCTTGCGACGGACTATCCAATTAAGTCAAACCTGACTTCGACAGAACAAATTCCGTCGGAATGGACCTTTCCGACGGATTTTCCCTCGAAATATCCCGAAATTCCTACAAAAGGTATTGCGACGTTGCCTTCCGACGGAATTTCAAGGTTTTCCGACAGATTTTTCCGTCGTTGATTGGCTGTTTTCTAGTGCACTTAACACATTGCTTTATGTATTATGGCTGCTTCTGTCTTCTCGGATTTTTCAAACACCCATGCATTACGTTTCAGCCATATTCTCCATGCTATGCACCAAAATATATCCCACCACTTCTTCTCCTTTATCTTCCCCTCCACCTGGTTACACCAATCCTGAAACCCGTGAGCATCAATATCACTCGGTTCAAATCGTAAAACCGAGTGTCCCCATATAGCCGAGGCAGCTGGGCAGAAGAGAAGCGAGTGAGCTATAGTCTCCTCATCCTCGCCACACATAGGGCATCGCTGATCAACATTCATACCCATATCCACCAGGCGCTTCATCTCAGGTAGCCCCTCTCACACACATCTCCACGCAAATAGTCTGATCTTTGGGGGAATGCAAGCATGCCAAATACTCTTCCAGTTAAACTCCACATTACCACCCGACGAGGTTGCTTTTTCACGTATTTCTTCTTCAACCAAGATGTTATAGGCACTTTTGATGCTATACACTCCATCTTTCGAGTAAAACCATGCCCACAAACCTTCCTCATCGAACATTGGAACTGGGATACTGCAGATTGCTTCAACTTCTCGTTGTAAGAATAAATCCGCGAGCGTGGGTAGATTCCACTCCTGATTTTCCCACAAATATTTTACAAACACCGGGCCTTCATTCTCTTCCCTCCTTTGTGTCATGATTCGGAAATTTGGGAGGTTTGGCACCCATGGATCTTCCCAAATACATACTCTACCATCCCCACTAATTGTTCTTATGGCACCCTTCTCAATCACCTTCCTTGCACTTAAGATCGATCTCCACGTCAAGCTCATATTCGGGACAGTTTTTGCATCAAAAAAATTTGGCGTTGGGAAGTACTTGCCCTTTAGGACCCTAGCCATAAGAGATTCCATAGAAGTTACAATTTTCCACGCTTGTTTTGCTAACATAGCCATGTTAAAAAATCTCAGATTTCTAAACCCCAATCCTCCTTTATTTTTTGCTCGTAGCATCTTCTCCCACCCAATCCAACTCATCTTCTGTTCCTCCCCTTTTTGCCCCCAAAAGAAGTTCCTACACAATTTTCTATCTCGTTCAAAATGCTAACCGGGATAGAGAAACATTGCATAGCATATGAGGGAATAGCCTGTGCCACTAATTTTATAAGAATTTCCCTCCTTGCTTAAGATAGGTACCTGCCTTTCCAACCTTTAAGCTTCTTCCAAACCCTATCCTGAATATTCTGGAAAATTTGTTTCTTAGAACTTCCAATGTACGTCGGAAGACCTAAATACTTTTCATGTCCCTCGACAGCCTTAAAATCTAACTTCATCTGAAGCATATTTTTCTTTTCAAGATCAACATTTCGGCTAAAAGACACCTCTAATTTTTCCATATTCAGTTTCTGGCCCGACGCCACTTCATAGGTTGACAGTAATTCAAGCACCTTGTCAGCTTCCTCCTCATTTGCTCGAACAAACAGCAGGCTATCATCAGTAAAAAACAAATGTGAAATTGGCTCAACGTGCCTTTCGATATTAACACCATGAATGAGATTTTTCTTTTCCACCTCTCTAAGAAGAGCAGATAACCCTTCCGCACACATAATGAATAGGAAAGGAGACAATGGGTCTCCTTGGAGCAACCCTCTACTTGGTCTAAAGACCCGAGACGGCTGTCCATTCACTAACACATCAAAAGAAGCCGATAAAACATATCTCATAATATTCTTCACATAAGACTTGGGAAAACCAAAATTTTTCATCATTTTTCCAGAAAGGCCCATTCAACTCTGTCGTAAGCTTTGCTCATATCCAATTTCAGCCCCATATATCCTCTTTTCCCTCTTTTTTTTTCCGCAAGAAGTGAAAACACTCATAAGCCACTAAAATGATGTTTGGAATAAGTCTACCAGGAACAAATCCACTCTGATTTTCACTAATAATACACGGCAATATTTTTTTTAGTCTGTTAGCCAAGACCTTCGACACAATTTTATACAGTACATTACACAGACTAATAGGTCTATAATCAACAGGAGACTCACATTCTTTTTTTTTTTCGGAATTAAAACAATGTGTGTCTGATTAATAGATCCTATATCACTACCATTGTTCAAAATATTCAGAGTGTTTTCCACTACATCACTACCGACAACATTCCAGAATTTTTGAAAGAAGATAGCAGACATACCATCCAGCCCAGGGACCTTAGTGGGGTGCATCTGGAAAAGAGCTTCGCGAACCTCCTCGCCTACAAACGGGGCATCAAGTTCTGCACACTGATCCTCTGAAATAATAGAATCTACTTTCTCAATCACAGTCTCCATATCACCTTGTCCTCCCAATGAAAATAGATCATCAAAGTGGCGCACAAAAACCTCCGAAATCTGCTCCTCTTCTCGAAAAATATTACCAACGGCATCCTTCACTTCTCTAATATGGTTTCTTGATTTTCTCTGGCTAGCCTTCGTGTGGAAAAAAGTCGTGTTTTTATCACCATTTTGAGCCATTCCTGCCTACTTCGTTGCCTCCAATAAGCCTCCTCCCTTTTCTCCAACTCATCCATTTTATCATCCAGATCCCGAATTTGAGCAATAATCTCCTCTGTCTGTGTCTCTCCCATAAGACTCTCCATCCTGCCTTTACAGTCCTTCATCTCCTTTATAAAATCTCCAAATTTGTTCCTACTCCAAGTGCTCAAATTGATCGATGTATGAGCAAATTTTAAACATATATCTCCTCCCCAATTCCACGCCTCCTTCACTATGTCACCACAAGTTTCATCACGGAGCCACATTTCTTCAAACCTGTATTTTTTGAATTTTTTCTTCTTTTTTGTTTTCCCTACCCCCTCATTAAAACACAGCAAGATAGGCAAGTGATCTGATTTTCTCTTTGATAAGTGCGTCACAAAGGACCCAGAAAAGAGGCCCTTCCATACTTTATTCTCTAGGAATAGATCAAGACGCTCCGGTACATTTCGATCTCCACCTTGGTTATTTGTCCATGAAAATCCATGCCCTACATAGCCCAAGTCTGCTAGCTCACACGTCTCTACTGCCATTCGGAAACCTTCAGCCTCCCCCATACGGAACTCACTGCCTCCTTGTTTTTCACTCGACATCAGCATTAGATTGAAGTCCCACCCCACACAACCAAGGAATGTTTGGGTTACTCCTAAGGTTTTCTAACATATTACAAGTCAATTTCTTTTTCTCCGCTTCCGGGTGCCCATATATTCCAGTAAATCTCCATCCTTTCTTGCTAGGAATCTTCACCCATGAGTCTATGTGGTGTAAGGAGTACGACTTGATTTCAACCTCCAAAGTATCTTTCCATAACAGACCTAGCCCTCCACTACGTTTCCTTCCCTTCCCTACACAGCTAACTGCAATAAAGTTATTAAAGTTAAGCTTGTTTTTTACTCTTTCCATCTCATAGCTTTTTAGTCTTGTTTCCGACAAAAAAATGATTTGAGGTTTTTCAAGCATAGCCACATTTTCACTGCATTTATCGCTGAGGTACTCCCCAAACCTCTACAATTCCACGAAAGTATGTAATTCATTGTTCACCAAGAGCCCATGGTGTGGGGCCCGCCACATTTTTATTTAAGCTTACAATCTTTCTCTTCTTGTTCGTAGCATCCAACTCATCTTCATCCACATCCATCTCAGATTCTCCACGAGCCTCCTCACGATCTCCTCTTTTTCCCCCAACATAAAACCTTTCCTTCATTGCCCCCTTTGTTATCCCTCTTTATAATGGTGACCTTTCTAAGGCCTCGCCCCTTTTCCCCCATGGCAGCATCTCCCTCCTTCTTTTCATCCTTCACGTTCACCTTCCTATCTTTCTCTCCTTCTTCACTCTCTTCTCCTTGTTTAACAATCATGCCATCACATTCCTTCACGTTCATCACCAACAGTACCTGGTTGCTGTTAGCACCCCCTACGACCTTCCCCTCCTTCCCCTCCCTATTTCCTCCCGTACCCTCACCACTCCCATCCTCACTACCCCCCTTTTTTCCTTCCACTTCACCCTCTGGTTTTGATTTCTCAAGTTTAAACTCCTTTTCTTCGCTCATTGTTGTACCCATTGATCTTAACACAAGCTTTTCTCCATTATTATCCCACACCGCACGGAGTTCCGCCTCTCTGTTTATCAAAGGGGACTTTATTTCTTTAAAATCATCAGTATTTGGGGAAGCAAAGGCAATCTTTCTAGCAGCCCCAACCAGTCCCAACTTGATAACATTTGGATCGTTATATGTAGGAGTTTTCTTCGACAAACTTGATTTTTTTAGTTGCCCCATCCAGCTCTTCTCTATTTCATGTTCAGCATTATCAGTTCTGGATTTCTTCTTTGGAGATGCTTGTAGCCATGGTCCATATTGGAACACCATCTTTTCGTCCTCCTCTTTCACTTGCTCCTTGAAATGATATTCCTTTTCTGTGTGTTCCAATTTACCACAAAAAAACAGAAATCAGCGAGCCTCTCGTATTTAATATCCACCCAACGAGACTTATTTTTCCCCATAGCTAAGAACAGCCCTCTTCACAATGGCTTATTAATATCCACTAAAACTTTGATTCTCAAACAATCATTCCACCCTAGAGGATCAGATTCATCTGCTTTGATAAACTCCCTATAAACTCCCCTACATCATACATTACCGCCAAGGTTCGTTTGTTCAGAGGTACATCTAGAAATCTTACCCACATGGGGGTCTGCTTGAAGAGGATTTCTGACAGTTGTTCATCACCGATCACTTCTTGCAGCAGTAATAATTTCTCATCAAAAAACCATGGTCTACCTTCAAGAACCCCATCCTTATCATCCTCACAGAAAAATTGAAAAACGAATAAATTCGTCTCGACAACCCTAATTGCGAATTTCTCTTTCAACCTCCATACATTCGCCAGTGTTCTCTTCATCGCTTCAAGATTGTAGGGTTTAACTGTCCATAATTTTCCCACCAGAGTGAGATTTATTTTGGCTTTCGTATCCTCACTAACATGTTCGATATAATCACCCCCTAGCACCACACCTTTTTCTTGGTTAAACGCAGCATTTCCCAGTCCTTCACCAACTCCTCCGCCATTATTCACACTGCACTAGAGATCAGGCCAATTGATTTATGGGAAAGATTAAAGGTTGATCACGATTGGTACAAGGATGAAAAGTAACTCACGCAAACCCTAGACTCAGGACTAACTTACCCTAGAAAGGGACTCAACATCCTCTAAACAAAATGTAATTACTTTCACATTTTTATCCTACAAAAATAGTTTTAATGTGCACAAGATCACAACTCTTCTTATCTTGTACTTGTTCCGCTATAAATCAGTTTTAACACTTACGAGTGCCATGATAAATAGTTTTACACTTTTTGGTGATAAATTATTTTCAGCAACTTTTCTGTGTTACTGGCCACACCATGTAGCAGGGGTTACTTATTCAGAGATTACTTGTATGGGTTATTTATTCAAAAATCTAATATATAAATAGGATTTAATTTTCTTAGCGCGCCATGTAGGATTATAAATTTTGGTAGTAGCCAATGAAATAAGAGATTATTAATTTCTTTTAGAATTAAATAATTCAAATGTCACGTAAGAAAAATTGGCGAATGAGATTTAAAGTTTAATTTAAGTAAATATAATACATTATCTTTTGAGATTAAGAATTTTATCTAAATATATAACGAATGAGAGAAATTCACAATTTATTTTTAAATAAAAATATTAAATGATATACTACGTACAACGAATAAAATAACAAGTTTTATCACATAAATACAAAAAATATTTTGTTATAAAATACAAACAAACTGTGCATCGCACGGGTTTCATCTAGTTACTTGTATGGGTTACTTATTTAGGGGTTATTTACTCGATTAGTCGGTAACACGTTTTCTGAGTGAAAGTAACCCCTAACCAACTGAGGGTTACTTGTATGGGTTACTTGTAGGGGTTACTTATTCAGGGGTTACTTACTCAGTCGGTTAGCGCGTTTTTTGTGTGAGAGTAACCTCTGACCGACCAAGTAACCCTTGAATAAATAACCCATGAATAAGTAACCCCTATAATTTACCCTTGATCAAACGAGTAACCCCTGAATAAGTAACCCCTGACCAAACGAGTAACCACCTACATATAACCCCTGCCATACGGTGTGGCTAGCCACATATAAAAAATTGTACTGTCATTTATAAAATCGAAATCATAATAAGTTTAGACGGCTATATTTTATTTGATTTTTTCTTAACAGGCATTTCCCGTTCAATATACTTATCCCAAATATAAATCTAGAAAAGTAGAAATAATATATCAATTCCGCCAGATGTTCCTTCATTGGATTGATGGTGGGGACAACACATTCGCATCAATGATTTGAATCTTCTAGATTTATCATCACTTGCTCTTTCTTATGGTAAAACATGACGAAAGTTTGCTCATTAAATGAGCAAAAAATACTCTTGGGTACACCATACACCCGAGTGTATAGAATTATCTTCAAGAGATAACATGTATTTTCATATCTATATAATGATGTGCAAGTGTTGCAAGTCTTATATCTATAAAGTATAATTCGTATATTACAAAAAAAAATTTGAAAAAAAAAAAACAATTTAATTGTAAGATTCTTTTCTCAAATTGATATTTAAATTTTAACTAATTATGATATACGAAAATTTAAAGTCTAAAAAAGATCAACGACCTACAATATGATGGAAAAATGCCCTAGGTGTGTGCGTAATTTTCTTGAAGTTCGAAAATTTAAATATATAGAGAAGAGCCTAAACCTCAATTATTAAAAGTTAACTTTTCAACGGATAATTGAATATGGGTGCTAACCTTACAAATTATAAATCATTAATAAGATTATCACTTTTAATTTAAATATTGCCGACATTATTTTAAGAAGGCCATTACGCAAGACAAACAACCTCAAAAGGGAACTGAGTTAGACCTAAAATTATAGAAATGATTTGCAATAACTAAACCATAATGATCCTTGATAATGACAACAGCAGCAGCTAGATTATGTTTTAAGAACAATCAAATTAATGTTTCATAAACTCTGCAAGTTTTTAGACATGTGGGGGCAACATGTAGCCTTCTAACTAAATTTATTAAAATAAAGTCGTGCTAAATTGTTAATCTATAGTACTAATAACTCATTTAATTTGAATATTGACGCATTAAGTAGGGTTGAGTTACAAATTTAATCAATAGTTGGTACTTTATAAAATTCATTTGGTTTAATTGGTTGGTTAGGTTTTAGATCAGTCAAAGTTACTATCCACGAACTTATTAAGTTATTATGACTAATTAATCAATAATAGCACCATTAGGTCAAGTCAGTCTAAGTTCGGGTCATAATTATGAGCATGGTTTAAGTTTAAAGCACTTCATTTAAATCACATAATCACAGTCAAGATTAATTTTAAGCCGTTAAAAAAAAAAAAAAAAAAAAAACCTTGAGCAGATGTTATCATGGACTCATGGCAATACTATTATGTTTATATTTCGTATTGTTTAGCATAATGAAAAATTTAGCTCAACCCATATTCTCTAACAATCGCGGAGTAGTGAGAAAATTTTGGCATTTCTTGCTATATAAAAGGAAGATGGTTTCCACTCTAAGTTGGGAGAATCGTGAATATGTTTTCTATCAAAACAAACAAAGCCTACTAAATCTATCCTTAAGAGCATAAATATTCCTCGAGGATAAATCAAGTATATGGTAAAAATAATAAGTCCCCGACCCAAACCATAATGTGCTCCCACTGTTTAACAGAAAACTTCCCTACATAATAAAGCATCAAAATGTAGAATAAAAGAGAGCATCAAATCAGTGTCAATTGTTTCACTAAGAGGACGAAAGAGATAGCCCCACTGCAGTTGAAGTTGTCTACTGACAACAAGAACAAGACATGAAAATAACGGTGATACTATACAGTCAAGGTTGACTTCATATACAGGGTAAGCTAAACAAGATGCTACGCTAATACGAGTATATCTCTGATTCAAGATTGAGTGAGTGTTAGTGTTTCTACTTTTCGCAACAAGATGGCAACCTCAAGACAATCAAGCCGATACCACTTGCTGAAAAGATGCACATGTCTTGTTTTAGATGAAATTCTGCGCGACATGCTTGGTTCTGAGGAGTGATTCTATTTCCCGTTTCTCATTTCACTCTCAATCCTCATCTCTATTTACTTGACATTTCGACATCCATGTAGATAACTTGCTACTTGCTCGTTTTCAGTATAGGAATTAACTTGGACAATTACCTGTGTAGGAAACTCATCGCCAAATCCGAGCATTGTAGTCTACAATCCTTTTTCTGAAATTATAAAACAAATCAGATCAGTAATGGCATGAGAAAGACCTGAACTTTGATGTAGACGCATGCATACAGAGGGACTGACTCAACTTTCAGACGCTGACAACAGTCAGACATATTATGAAAGAAAAATATGCTAAATTTTTTTTAGGCTTGGTCCATCACAAGATAGCTTGATGCTTTCATACCCCACAAAATCCTACCCCATATCAACTAGGAATCAACTCAAGGTTAGAACAAAAAGGCACGGTAGAAGCGACTGTGATTAGATCTGACTGCCAACATTAAACTGTTCATTTCTGGCAAGTCAAGTTAGTACAAGACAAACACCATAGTTTCAGTAATAAAAGTCAGTATATTTTTCCAAGTATGATAACACATAATTATGATGAAAACAGTTTGTACTTATCACGTATGTTGACCAGAAATTCAGAAGAACACGGTATTCTTATGAACAAGGACGGAAGGGCCTAAAAGGGTTAAAACTACGATGAAGCATACCAAGTTAGCATCCTCGTCCGAAGTAACAAGACACAGCTTCATCATGTCTATGAATTTCATTTGGCGTTAAACTATTATTGTTTAACATTTCACCTTTTGATCATCCAAATTGCTAAGTAAATAAGAACTGCAGTAGTCAGCTAATTAACATGTGCAGTCAAAGTGACCTCCAATAACACCCAAGACAGAGCATCAGAAGGATGATTCTTAATTACGTAACTTTGCACCAGAGTTTCTGCAGAGAGGAGAAAGAGAAAAATAACTGCCCTACAAATTTTAACTGTAATAGGAAGATATACATTCAACAGGAGATTCTACAGAGAAAGTCTAGGCTTAGCTTTCTACTCTTTCAGCATAAATGGTATTAGTTAAGAGTCTTAAGACTAGTAACAGCATGCATACAGATTCCTGACACAAGACATTGATTTTCTGACTAGTGAAAAAACATGCATCACATACAAATTAAAACTTCAACTATATTATTCACAAAAATATTATACTGCAATTATTATATAGGTCTGCCCGCCTCTCTAAGATGCACTTCCTTAATGCCTGTTCAAGAGCTTTCCGCAGTAGTCTCCTCTACTGTATGCTTCAAACCAAGATGCAATTCCGAAACTTAAGACCTTCTACTATGAACAAATCCTCCCAACGTTGCAAAAAACAGCCTTCCCAGTGACCCAAGATCACCAATACACTATACACAATTATCTTCTTTTCACATGTTGCAACTTTTTCGACTGAATGAAAGAGGACTATTGCCATGCTAAAGCTTTCCAGCACAAATAAAAATCCATTAAAATTCCCTCATAATCTTTCCATTACCCTAGCTGCCTTGTGAACAATTCAGAGATGTGGTAAAGCATGTTGAAAGTCTGAAACTCTGTAGCCTTCCATAATACCATACTGACTATTGAAATCAGTTATAAAATAACCTATGACATCGATGTGATGAGAACCTTTTCTACTCGTATCCACCGTCTCAATATAGTGTCTTGGCCTTGTAAGGATGAAGAGAAAATAACAAACTATACACCAAGAAGCTCCGTTTCCTTAGTCTTACTCAATCAAGATTACATGCTTCAATATGGAACCAAAGAAAATCACAATACCAAAAATAGTCCACTGCTACAGTAAAGTATGAGCTAATATATTACTCTTATACCTACTTTCAGTCACCTCAGACAGCCCTGCGATTATCCATACCATTTCTTGATATTGTATCCATCTGATCTAATGAGTCACATAGCTTAGAAGGCAAAAACCTTTACTTAGTTGAGCAGCACAGCCAATCATAATATAGCCCAAGTAAACTGAATCAGGAGGTTCTAGTTCTGTACTAATAGGGTCAACAACACTATAGCATTAAATCACTCTTCTTAAGTATTTTAACAGCCAAACAGCCCAGTATAGGTCCCACCTTAGGCAAGGTTTGAGGAGGTTCAAGAACTACAGAACCTTTGAGTTATCTAGCTCTGAATGGCTAGAACAGAACCTGCTTCAAACGACCCAGAGAAAAGGTATTTATATGGAAACAATCAGAATGCAAGCATTTATATGCAGAAACATCATGTTTTCTCTATCAAAAGTCAAGCATATATCTATCTAGAGGTAAGGTGAGCAGCAGATAAATTACTACGTAGCTAATTTTGAGTATCAACTAGTATCCAACTTTAGTGGCATTCATTTAAACTAGCCCATTACGCTTGAAAAAAATGTACTTCATATATGTTTTCAGTTACTCAGTTAGGTTGTAATCTCGTGAAGAGGATCTTCCAACTGTTGTGCTACCTTTTAAGAAGGGGTATTCAGTAATCAATATCATCCACATTAAAGTAAGCCCACCTATTAGCAACCAGTACTATGCAAAAAATTCACAGGTCAAATCAAATGTGGTAAACCATTATACACATGATGTGACAGCTTGATAATACTCAAGTATAATGTTGCATGAATTACTTATGGACTTGCTACATGTTGAAGAAAGCAATAAACCAACAGTACAACTTCCAGTTCTGGTTAAAGCTCTTAACCAGAAATATCTAAATCAAAGTTACAGTATACTTTCTTTGTTTTTCCGTACTTGCAACATCTCTGTTTTCCACGTTTGCCAATGCATAACTTCAACCATTTACATCTTTAATAATGCATTAATAAAAAAAATTAAAGATTAGATTTTAATAAAGCAAACATAAAGATGAATCTCACAAGATCTCATATGACTATGTTTCTTTAAGTATGAATCACGAAATGTAATTCAAGGCGAGTATGTGAATATTGTACAGTATTGAAATGTCGCAAGTAAAAAAAAATGGAGGAAGTACTTCTGAGATGGAGAAATGACATTGTTTTCAAAGTGATGTTCATCCTGTTATTTTCTGTCAAACATTTCCTCTATTTCTGATACAGAGCACTAAGTTACATCATGTTTTTTTTATCTATGTTTACCTTTATATTACGATTTGTATAGTTTAGTTTAATTGTTTTAAGCCATTAAATGGGTTTCAAGTTGTGTGGGTTAATTACTGAGCTATTTACTTCATTTGTGAGGACACCTTGTCCTCCTTATGTATCACCCTTCTGATGTGCAATTACTGCAAAATAGGAAAGCATGTAAGCATGATCATCGACCAAGCAAAAACAGATATGGTGTGATAGCCAACTTCAGTTGATGGTTATGAAGCATATCATTCGCTTTGATCCTTCCCAAAGCTAGCGTCATAGAAAAGCTTGCACTTTAAGAGGGACCTTTGTTTTCCAGATGAAACACAATTTAGGGGGGGTGATTCAAACAAGGAAGGACTTGCAAGAAAAGATCCCAAAATGAATCTCCCAACCACACTCTAGGATCATCACGTCCATAAACTTTAAGCAAGAGATCACAAATAGAGGTGAGTTTTCTACCTCTGTCATTGAGTTGTTTTCAGCACCACAAGATCTACACATTACCACTAAAGAAGCATTTTGAAAAATTGATAAGCAGTAAAGTTGTGGAAACCGTGAACTAACAGGCTTCTCTCTTTCCAATTTCCAATTTTCCATTCCTTACCACGCCAAAGGAGTAACTAAAAAAGCCACTTGTAAAATAAATTTCCATGGGATAACACTTAGGAAATCTCACTCATTCTCACACAATTTGTACTAGCTCTTGATGACATACCACAGAGCCCAATATTCTAGAGGAAACCTTCAACACCATTTTTCCGCCAAAACCAATGGTTTTTAAGACAATTCTTCAAAACCCCAATCCACCCTCTGTCTTAGGACAACCCACCAACTCCCAGCTCACAAGACGATCATTCCTTTCTCTCATCCCCAGCTCTAGGCAACAAAAAAACCCACATCATCCTCTCAATTTTTTGTGCAATTCAATCAATCAAAGCCTTAATCCCATAAGTGTGCAATTACCACCAAAATTTTAAAGAAGGGCAAATCTTCCAAGCTTAAAATTTGTAATTCCAAAGGGCGATCACGTCAAAAAATAAAACCTTTCAAAGTTACTAAAAAGAATTTCATGTAGCAATATAGTTTGATGTTGGAAGATGCATTGATAAAGAAAGAGGTGGACAAAATATGACTTGAATGGAGGCAGGTAAAAGATTATGTAAAACAAAAAGGTTTGCTAGATCAAACAGCACCAGGTAGAAGGGAAGAAGATCTTTGAGGACGACCATGGGAAATAAATTCTTGGTTCATGCAGACGGCCCCATCCTTTAGGGATTAAAGGCTTAAAGCTTTGGCATTGTTGTTGTGGGGAAAGAAGAAAATGTACATACTTCATCGTTCCCTAAATATCATTCACTAATATCTAGGCAATCTTGAAAAATTCACTTTTCTTAGACTAGAGTTGTATGTTGCACAGACTCAGATTTGGGTGTCGTGTCCGACACGGTGTCGGATCCTTTAACACTCCAGATTTTATAAAATTTCATATAAGGCCACTATATATTTGGGTGTCGTGTCGTGTCATGTGGCGTCGAAGTGTCGGAGGATCCAACACTGGACACTTGAAGTATAACAGGGTGTCCACATAGCAAGAGTTTATCATTCATCTTCTATAAATACTTAATAACAGGAATAGGAGCACTGTTACAATAATGCACAGGTCCCTAGGATAATACAAAACACATTGCAAAATACTTCTCATACAGAACCTCACCACACCCCAATATCAGAGTGCTATCGGGGTGTACAAGAACTTGCAAAATACTTATTAAAGCACTAGACAAGAATCAGCAAAAGGTGAAGAACTCCGCAAGAAGTCAATCTTCAAAGAGAAAGACTTGGACAGTGGTTGTGACAAAAAAAGTTCCATGTGTCAATTAATTAAGACATGTGGACAACTAGATGCTCACACATACATGTGAAGAGACAAGAAACAGATGTAAAACAAGTATATAAAACTTAATAAGGCTCACAAAATAAGAAATCATTTCTGAACTTTTCACACATCACACATGAAAGACAACAAAATGCCATCTACAGTAGTCAAAAACATCACTGACCTCTCATTATCCATACTGAACTATGGAAAGCACTTCATTCTCTGCCAATGATTAAAGTAAATTTAAGGCAGGCGTAAGTATTCATCACATATTCAGAATGAAAATAAACTCCAAGCGACAGAATTCAATAAGATGTTCATCAAGAGTCATATTACCCATCTCTCAATTTCAACAAATGAAGCGGCCAAGCGTCTTCTTAGATTTGATCTATCTTCTTCACAGGTTTCACCATTCACCTCTAGCAAATAAATTATCGAGAAAAGATTATAATTTACAGAAGAAGAAAAGGCAAAAACGAATAGATGACTTCCTAAGGGATGCATATCAATCCTCACCATAGTAGTAAGAAGACAAAATTGTGATCCGCTCCAATGGCTGTTGAAAAGAAGGGCAAGAAATAAAATCAAGATTAAAATTTTAAAATTAAGTTAGATGACATCAAAAATTCATTATAGGCAAAGATCAATAGCATAGATAAGAATTATCCACACTGATAGGACTTGGATATAAGTTCAAACAAGCATCACTCTTGACCTTTGACCTAGACTCCTAGACTCAGTAATAACTGTAGGAATCTACAGTCTAGACACCATAATGTTGTCAATTTTCAGACTTGGCCTTCTATGAAAATTTTGCATGTTTTTGGTCTTAAGTGAGTGCATGAGCCCATAACCATATCAGGTTGGGATAAGCAAATAATATCCAACCTCAGCCCTTTTGTAGTAAACGCTGCTTAAACACTACTATTGTTCCAAAACATTTCCTTAAAAATGAGAGAAATCCCATAGTACATAGTAGTTACTCTTACCCTCCAAAGCAAGGGCACTTGATCAATTAGGAGAAAGGTCTACTTCTTCCTTATGCCATGGAGGTTGTTAGTGCTAACAGTGTATTAATCTGTCTTTAAAAACGTCTTCAGTCAGTATGTTGTCAAAATATAAGACGTGGCCATTCTATGAAACTTTTGCATGTTTTTGGTCTCAAGTAGAGTGCATGAGTCCTTTATTATGTTATTTATTACAAGGTGGGCAACAACTTGACCCCCAAGATGGTTAAAAAACTTACCCCCAAACAGCTTTTTAAAATGGCTGTTTAACACCAAGATACCGCCGAGTTCAGCCCCACGCCAAACCCCATCTTCGAAACAACTTATAAATGGTTCTCTTGGTCCATTCTAAAGGACGTATCTAAGCTGCCAACAAGATTATACTATGTTTACAGTCGTAGAATATTTTAAGCTACAGCAATCCATTCCTATTTTAATAACAGGTCGTAACAAAGGTAGCCATAGGGGAACTTGTGGCTGGATTGAATCTTTTAGAGAAATTTCCCCCACCCCCACCCTTTTTTGAGGTATATTGCACTCATAATTCATTAGATACTATTCATGGATATTAATTACCAATTCAAAATCTTCCTTTCCATGGTGGCTTAAGATTAGCCAGGTCTGGATGTCAGATCATAGAACCACACATCACAATCTCAGCATGATAGACTTAAGATAATGAATATGAACGTAGGTGCGTATTTTAGAAAGTTGAGTTCGAAGAGCCAAGCAGATCAATCTTGCCCGTGCTATTCATAACTATCACCACACAACCGGACTTGCGTGTTCAAGTTTCATGGGTTATCCTGTGAACCCAAGAAGTATGGTCAATTTTCAGCAGTTCTCTTCTTCATAACATTGTGGGTTTGATCCATTTATGCCCTAGCCTTGAGTCTCTGCCATAGAGTAAAAATGTGAAATAACTTCACCTTTATATTCACATAATATTAATGCAACCTAACAAAGAGTGACACACAAAGCCTATCTAATTAATATAAGAAAATTATCCCTTATGCCTTGCATTCATAATATAACTCAACTTCCTAGTATACACAACTTCCTAAAATACACACCTACCCAACTAATGACACCGATGATGGTTGTGCTCTTGACATGCCTTGCACCACTAATGGATGTACAGGCAAATACATTCTACATGTCTACAGTGATCTATACCAAAACCCTCAAAACTAGTGAAGTAGCTTTTTAGGATAGTTAAGAGATCCAGTTGAAAATATCAACAACCATCCCTTTTCAAAACCCAGCTACTTGGAGACTTTTTTTATTTTTTCTGGCAAATAGGTACTCGGGGAAATAAATCCATCATCACGATATTTTATAATCATAAGCAGCTATATTAGAGAAATCATCCGAAACCTGCTCAATCTACCAGAACTGAAAAGATGGAGGATGAAATAAACATGCATTTCATTTAGCTTATCTATTGAAAGTTGGTTAAACTGGTTTGGTGCCAGACTCTGGGCTTAACAGCAAGGATACTTACTATTTATTTATCAATTTTTTTTTTTAATAATTGTTCCATCACTATGCATTCTAAAAGCTAAATCTTAAGTGTTTCCCCGTCTAATCAATATGCTGAATTGTTTGCTCAAAATTTTCAATTCAAAAGTACTGCTGTCCAACAGAATTTGATTGAAGCTACAGGCTTTTGAGCTAGTGCAGCAATTTTCAACACTTTACATGCTTGGATTGGAGGTAATGCGTTAGGGAGTGACAGAATAAAAAAATTAAAAAAAAAGAGAGAGGGAATGAAAATGGGTTGGGTTGTGGTAAAAGGGATGATATAGTGATAATGAGGGAAATAGGCAGATGGTGGGAAACTATTATCCCCAAAATGAGGGTTATAATTACGCGCTCCTCCCTTCTCCTTAGTATTTACACAGAACTACTACTAGACATCTCATGTATCACCACCCCCGTCCACATTCATTCTCTGTTTATTATTTTGTCATTGCCCCCTTTATTTAACCAAGCATGCCCTAAGTGTTATAATTTAGAAGTTTTACACAAATTATTATCACTTAACGACTTAAGTTTAAAATTATATTGCTAAGGGTTTCAACGTAAAGCATAAGAAGAGATGAGGCAGTTCACTTCTGCTTCTAATTGAATGTATATTTATTCAGAATTGTTAATGGCACGTCACCTACTTTTCTTTTTTTTTTTTTTTATAAAAAGAAGGTAATTCTCATTCAAGATTATAGATAGCTGGAGCTCAATTTATCTTCATTAGCCAAAGTCATAGGTAAGACAATCTTGCAAAATCAATGTGATACCAAGGTGACATTTATTTTAGGGAATGACTTCACTTTTTATACTACCTCCGTTAATGGTTATGTGCAACTTTGGGGAGAGGGACGGACTCCATTGCAAAATTTCCTCATGGTGCTTAACCAAAAGTAAGGGTATGTCATTAATAATTAATCAATCCAAATCCTTAAAATTAAAAAAAAAAATAAAAAAAATGAAAGAACCACCCAGCCACCCAGATCCACCAACGAAACCACCACCTCCACGAACACCCACCCACCCACTGGAACCCAAACCCACGAACACCCACCCACCTTCACGAAAACCTGGCCACCGGAAACTAAACCCACAAAAACCAACCCACATAAATTAAACCCACGAAAACCAACCCACCAGAAAGTAAAACCGCGAAAACCCCCACCCAAGTCAAACCAAGAACCATGAAACCCACCCCAACTTGAACCCAGAACCACGACCCACCCAAATTTGAACCCAAAACCGCCTAAGAAACCGCCACACCCACCGACAACAACCTTCTTCGTCGTCTTCTTCTTCGTTGTACCAGATCTAGAATGAGGTTAAAGGAGGAGAGAGAAAGGTAATGGGGAAGATGAAGAAGGTGAAAAATTAGGGTGTGAATGTGGAGAAATTAGATGATTTTTAGCATATGAGATGAACTAATTTGGTTGATTTCAATGAGTTATTGGGGGAGATGAAATAAATTTGATAGGAATAATTAGATTAATTGGGTTAGATTAGCAATTAAATAATTCTGTTTTTAAGAATGAAATTGATGTTATAAATTTTTAACTAAGGATGTTTTTGTAATTTTATTAAATAAACTTCACTAAAAATGGAAAGATTTGGAAATGTTGCACATAACTTTTAGCGTCCATTTTTGTTTTTGGTAAAAGTTGCAGATAACTATTAACGGAGGTAGTAAGTAACATTTAAGGCCTTGCAAATAGTTAGTGTGAGATGGTCTCGTTCAAGACTTTCTTTTTTCACTAACATCACAGGTTTAATAGATCAGGCAGTATTTATCACAGTTCATCAAGCACTTACAGACAACTTGATTAAACAAAACAATTACACAAGACAGCGTATAGAATATTACCATTACAAATATGCCCTCTTTTCGAGTAGGAAGTTCCTCGAGCTTTCTCAATGTCTCATCACCCTCGATGACCTTGCCAAAGATTGCATACTTTTCATCAAGATGAGGTGCATCACCGAGAAGTATAGAGAAGGAAGATGATGCACTGTCTGGATCATCATACCTGCAGAAAGCAATTACAGCTATAACATCAGCACTATGAGACCCAAGGAAAAATCACAGCGCAGCAATAGTGAAATGTAACTAATTATAACAGCTTAGGTAGTTCCATATCAAATAACCAGAAGCAAATCTGTATGTTCCTCAAAAAAGAAAAGACTCGAGACTTGTTTCTAATGAAAATTTAAACAAAAAAAATAAAAAGGTTCAAGACAGTTTGAAGCACATTATTTAATCAAATTCACTGGAAACAATGACTAACTGAATTCTACTATCAAGCCAAAACACCTGTGAACATAAACCAATTCAAATAAATCCACTAAAAGCAGATTAGAGATAACATACTAGGAAAAGAATTAGCACTTAAGCAAGCCTCTTAAACCTACCTCCCCATTGACAGGATACCCCTAACATGTTTGACCTTACTAAATTCACCTATCACAGTTTTCTCAGCTTCCATCCTCTGCTCAGCATTCATTGGGGCTGTTCTGCCTCCTACAACATCAGCAACTTGAGCTACAAAACCCTTATCAACCTGCCTCAAGAAATAATCTTCATTCATTGAGATTTTACGCTTAAAATTTAATTTTAGCTAAACACCAAACCAAACATACAAAAGCCCAAACCATTACCCGGAAGAAATGATTAGTATTATAGCATCCCAAGCGAACAAGTTTGAAAATGTGCTCAACAGTTTTGGGGGCCACACTAGGAAAGAAACCAAATTCGACATCTCCATAATTTGTCTGCAGCAAGAACCAACAAGAACAACATAGCTATGAAGGATTAACGGGAAAAAAAAATAATAATAATAATAAAATTAAGCAAAAATATTTACAATGTTTGAAACTATTATAAGTTTATAACAATCCTAAGTCAGAAATGAAAAGCGTATACACACAACAAAATGAAAGTTACTATCTTGATTAGAAGTAAGGTCACGTACATCAAGTCATCAAAATCAGCTTTAATTTGAACTGGGGAAGCTGTACACAAGAAATCACACCCCCACAAGCCCACACATACTAGTAGTATACCTCTATTTTCCAAATACTATACTAGCATATGTAATATTCACTATCATATGATATTGGTGACAAGGACCTGAGTTTGTTGATATTTATACTCTTAAAATCATGTGCCTTAGAGATTTGTTGTAGATGTCTCTTCATTTGTTACTCCCTCCATTTTTTTTAAATGCATCACTTTGACTTTTGCACTATTCACATACCATGGTTGACTCTATTTTTTCACCTCTATAAAATGAATAAATGTTATTATATAATATATCATTAGATTAGTCATAATGTCTAGTTTTATAATATATATTTTTTTTAATTTTTACTAATAGACAATTAAAGATATTAATGGTCAAAGTTCCGTCTCGGCAAATGTGCCGGTCAAATTGATGCATTAATAAAAATAAAAAAAAAAAATAAAAAAAAGAGAGAGAGAGAGGGAGTATTACTTTGTTGCTAATTTTAAACTTATCTTTTGCTCTTTGTAAACCTAGTACTCCATACTATCAATACATTTTACCTTTCCTTAAATCTATTAAGTGTTAAAGGCTATAGATCCTTTTTTCTTTTCCACTTCCGCTATCACCCCTCCCTCTCCACGCATCTCCCTACAAGGCTACACCATCAAAGACCTTTGTCAACACCAACAAATGATGGTGACCATATTGATCTTCCTTCTCCTCTATGCTTCCTCTTCCTTTTTTTCAAATGGATGCACCTAACTCTCGGTGGCCAGCACCAATATTGGTGAACAGTACACTATGTCTCGTCAACACTAAATCAACCTCTCACCCAATGGACATAGGAAATTTCTACACTCAACCACCTTCCTCTTCAACCGAGAAAGCCTCAACTCCAAGACTAAACTCCTTTTTCCAAACTCATATGGAGAAACGCAAGTTCCAAATCAGCATCACCATTACATCATCCTCTCCTTCAATGATGTTAACTAGTAATGGCACCTTCATTGATTAACAACATCCCTCATTCCTCCAATCTCCCTCTATTTGTGGTGAAGCTAAAGAGAAATCAATTTGTTATTCCTATTTTCCCCTCATTTCAACCTATCTCCAATGGTTTGACCATGGTGCAAAATGGATTTTCATTTAATCGAAGCACCAAACCAAAATCGTTCAAGGGGGTTTTCAAAAACCTACAAGCTCGCCTGAATCAAACATTCCTAACCCAAACCACCCCACATTGAATGTTGCATCTCATGTTTCAGTCAAAAGTTGCTTCCTATTTACAGATAGGAAAAATACACTTTAATAATCCCAACTATGGCCGATTTACTTTTAATAATCCCAACTAAGGTTTATTATCTAATAATCCTAACTATGGGGTCAGTTTGCCTCTAGTGATCCCAACCGGTCAACACCAAATCAATGACTTGTTGTAACAAGTAACCAATACACGTGTCAGCACGTGATTGGTCTAAAATTAAAAATAAAATAAAAAATAAAAACACCCTAAGAGCCACCACCCCCTCCCCTTCCGCCACCGCAAAACCCAACGGCTAACCCCCAACACATCGGAAAGCGGTCGGCCGTCTCCACTAACACCCGAAAACGGCCGACCCTTCCCAACCCCCGAACCACCCTAGCCACCCACTCCCACCAGCCAAACCACCTAAACTCCCTCGAAAACAACCTCCACACAAACGAAACCAACCCTCCTTCCTTCCTAACCCCCGAATTCGGCCCCCAGGGCGGTTTTGAGGATGTTGGAAGGGAGGGGGAGCGCCGAAGCGGCACTTCATGGTTTTTTTTCTTTTCAATTTTGGTTTTCCAGCGAAGGGGGAGCGAAGGAAGGGAGTGGTTTAGGGGGTCGATGGTGTTGTTTAGGGGGTTGGGAGGGTCGGTCGTTCATTTTAGGGGGTTAGGGAAGTGGCCCGCGGCGATTCTCGGTGGCCTGGGGGTTAGCCTAGGGTTTCACGGTGGTGGAGATGGTTTTTGTTTTTTTTTTTCTTTTTTTTTTTAAGTTTTATTCAATTTTTTTTATTATTTTTTTTAATATTAGACCAATAACGTGCTGACACGTGGCATTTTTAAAAAAAAAGTTAAAAAAAATTTACCCTGGCAGATTGGAGGCAAACATACCCAATAGTTAGGATTATTACATAATAAACCTTAGTTGGGATTATTAAAAGTAAATCGGCCATAGTTGGGATTATTAAAGTGTATTTTTCCTTAGAGATATGGTAAAAGTTTACCCATATCTCTCAACTAATGGCTCTAATCCTTTACTATGCTACTCTAACTATTCTAATAGCACTTCTATAAAACCCTAAAAAGACTTGGTACATGAAAGGGGTGGGGCCACATGGTTAGCCCGTGAGCAAAATCATATTTGCAAATTCGCAATCAACAAATCATATCTTGCGGCATTGCTACCTCTTCCTCATCGCAATTGAAATCGGATTTTTGAACCATGAATCTAACCACCTTGCTAACATAGTGTCATAGACTCATAGTAACATGTTTCCTGCGGCATCAGTCCAAACAACAATTGGGGCACTCAACCTTCTCATGTGTACCACTTTGGTGGTCTCTTATCTAAAGAGGAAAAACCCCAAACATTTTTGCACAAAATTTCCCTCTCTTTTGCGTTAATCCTAAAAATAATACTCATACTTTGCAAACCTCTATAGAGAAATTGAACAATACCCTAACAATATTGGCACCTTGGCCAAAATGTCGTTCACTCGTTCAACGAAGGTCAATTCGTTAGTCCGACCTATTGTGTCAAACCGTGTGCACCCTATACCATTACAAAGTCTCTTGTCCTCCATCTAACATGAAGTAGAGAGGTCTTCAACTCTACTTCTCCCTAATTTCAAGGTTTGGGCATCATTAGCTACATGCAAATGTGCGCATAATACTACTCCCTCCTACATTACTGCCTTGCCACAACAACGCTTACAAGATTACAACTTTCCGACTTGAACTTGCATATCACTTGTACTCGTAAGCTCTATGGTTCAAGTCTTCAAGATTGGACCTTCTCTACGACAGTCTATCTTGCAGAGGCCTAATAAGGATTGACTAATTATAAGATATTCCTTAGTTTGCTGAGCTAAATCTCTGCTAATATCTAGGCCTATCATCACTTTGCTTTGTTGAAGATATCTCTTATTTATTATTAGTCTGTTGCCAGTTTCCAGCTTATCATTTCCTCTGTGTAATTTTAATATTTCTTTGGGTTGTATTACTATAAATACTGATTCATAATATCAATACAATTAAGCTTTTCCTAAATCTGTTAATTGGGAGACTACATCAATCAAACATACACACATAAACCATATTCCATGTATCAAAAATTTCAGCCACCAAAAGAAATAAATGGAAATATGCCATCTAGGTACAGTTTAATAATGAATAATATGATTTACAATGTGGGTTATCATGATGTTGGAGAATACAAACCCCATTCTTTTCAGTTTTCACCTTACAAAGATGAGTTTCAGTTCAGGATTAAAAAATTTAATATTGGAGCTAGTAATTTCAAATTGATTCAGTATAGGGCCTACAACTTCAGTTTCGGGCTAAAATAAGTTCAGATAAGTTCACATAAATTAAGTTTAGCGCTAATATAGGTATGGTTTAGGACTGATAAATTAGGAAAAGTTCAGAACAATTTAGTTCAGAATAGTTCATGGGTATTCAAGATACAAGAACAAGGATTTAAAACATAAACCAAACAAATTAATATCAACAAATCAATGACCAAAGTATTAATATAATTTCTGATCTAGGTATAAATTGAAGATATACCATATTCTTTTCAATGTGAATTGCTTTGTATACATTCCAGAAATAATTATTCAAGAAAAATAAATCTGAAATCTTGTCACCTATATACAAATTGCTTAAATCCCACTTCATTTTTTAACCTCATAATTTCCCATGAATTAAATTGGAGCATACAATGAGACAGAAATGAAGATCATGATCTACTAGTAACATGGAGTACCAATTTTTGACAAAAGGGTAGAAATTTTATTTGAAGCAAAAATTGAACATAAACAGAATGTAAAACAATCGATAGTATAATTGCAGTTAAGAGTAAAAACCTGGAAAACAACACGAGCTGATCCAAATTCGGGTTCCTCGGGAAAGGAGAATGTATGAGTGATTAAGAGAGAGAACACAAAGATCTTGATCATTGTCTTTGCTCTCTCCATCTCTTTTACCATTCTAATTCTTCGATTTTTTGAGGTTTTGCACTTTTCGAGCTGAGTCTTGTCCTATATCCAACTCAATAATGCGAAGTCAGGATCTCTTCTCTTAAGTCTTAATGAATATAAATGGGAAAATGGGGCGTGTCAAATGAACATTACTCTTTTGTATTTCCAAACCATTGTACCCAATTATTCCCTCTAATGCGTTAGGAATTCCTCTCGTGAGAAGGGGTTCCTAACGCTTTTCTTCTTTTTCTTATCTTTAAAAAAAATGGGGCGTGTCATATTGGAGGCTCGCCCGCGTTCCTAGTCGTCCCTATTCTAATAAAGATGGCTTTGGGCCGGGTTGTGGACTTATGGATCAAGCCCATATATTTTAGGATTGTCTAGGTCAGGCCCACCACCAATGGGTTGGGCTGAAGCGGGCTCATATTTTAAAAATTAAGGCTCAAGCTGGGTCTTGTGGGCTGGTCTGGTCTAAGGACCGATCCAAAGGTTGGCCCGTGGGCTTCTTTACAAAACAATGCATTAGTCCTTTGCATTATTTAATACTACGTATGTTAATTTACCAAACCAAAAAAGCATTCAACTTAGTTGACACAAATAATTTTATAAGTAATCTCTTTCTTTTTTTTTAAATAAATCATTTGGAGTACTACACTATTCATAGATTAGTTTTGAATTAATTTTCTAACTAATACATAACATATAACTCAAATAGGCCTAAAACCGACCTATTAAAGGATATCAATGGGGCGTGTCAAATATGAGATATTGAGAATAATACGAAGTACTAGTACTCCAAGTTTCCACTCTCCAACCAAGGATCTCTACTTTTTAATGGTTATCAATGGGGCGTGTTAAATTGGAGACTCACCCGCGTCCCTAGCCGTCCCTTTTCTGGTAATATGGCTTTGTGCCAGGTCATGGACTTATGGGTCAGGCCCATGTATTTTAAGGTTATCCAGGCCAGGTGCCCAGCCCACCACTTCTTCTGTGTTGAGTTTCATGCTTTATTTTTGCTGGACATAGCTGAAGATATATTCCAGTTGAACCTTGGCTTTTTCGAGCATGCTACAGGGTTGCACTTGTTATCTTCCATACTAAGTAGAAATGATAACATGAGTAGTTGCACTTGCTTGCTGGTTCATGTTATTAAGTTCGTTCCTCCTATATTCCACTCATTTTGGTGTAGTGCTCATTTATGCTTATGACACCATATTGTTTGGTATCATAAGAGACTCTTTAATTTATTGAGCCTGTATTTGTTCATTTGCACAATTATTCATAGAAAACCTTCTTTCAAGACTTGACTTATTCACAGTCTCAGACATTGTTGCATGCAGCCAACAGATCGATCACCATGTTGTTACAGGTATCCTACAAATCTTGCTTCGATCATGATCCATATTCGATCTCTCACTCAATCACCACATCTTGGATATATACCATGCTGATGAGTACGTAATTCAACTCAATAATTTCAGGATTCAGCGCCCAACAAAATGATCTATATATACAAAACCTCTCTAAAACCCTATTAGGCTATATGTACATTGGACATAATTGAAACAAAATCATAACTTTCCTTACATGATCATATACTAGGATGTCTAGGACCATTATCTATTTAGGATCATGAGCACTTCTATTCTCTTGAGCTAAGTTAATGACTGTACCACCTAAAATTTACTCCGTATTATTTAAAAAATTATACAAAATACGGACCTTTATCACACTTTTTAAAGAGATAATTTGTAAAAAATTGTTGAATCATATATCAATACTAATATATTAAAAGACGTTCCTAAGAACGTCTATGATACCCCTTATTACGTCATGTCACACACTCAATTCCTCAATACGCCACGTCACCCACTCAATATGTTGTATGTCTCAACTAAATTAAAAAATTACATGGATGAGGAGGTTTGAATACTCAACCTCTTAGAAAAAAGATCATCATTGTTTAACCATCTAGGCTAATTGCCACTTATACTCTCATCTTGCACACAAATTAATATTATACTATAAAAGTATTGAAAACACATACAAACTACTCCATGTTTAATGCCTTTTATAAAATTAGCAGTTGCATCACTACAAAAGTAGTAACCTAGGGCAACGTACGGGCTACTCACTATTTGTTGTAATGATAAACTGTACATTACACAGTACAAGACTTAATTAAGCTAGTAACTATTAAAATCGGTTATAAAATTCGAATAAAAAATAAATAAATTAAGTTAAATTAAAAAAAAAAAAAAAAAAAAAAAAAAAAAAAAAAAAAAAGGATAGATCCAAAGAAAGCATATTTTATACGTGCAGGATTAAGCAAGCTAAGCAGTGACGTCAAAAAAATTGTTCCAACAAATTGCATCTCCTTTATTATGGAAGGTGCATGCAGAATAAGGATTTTTCCAAAGAAATATAAAAGTATTTATTCCCTTTTTATAGAAGAATCCGATTATCATTTTAGTGGTGGATTTTGTAACAAAATCAATTAATGGTACAATTTGAAAGAAAGAGATGAATAAAGGATTAAATAGGGAAATATTGATTTGAAGAATTAGGCAATGTACAACAAATGTCCAAATTCATAACGTAGTCGATATTTTGGGCATTATTAATATTAGGGTTTAGGGGGGCTATTGGGCTATTTTACCTTTGGCAATTGGCATCTTTATGTGCAAATGTGCAATCGAATCAACTACATGATACTTCAAAAAAAATTAATGCCTAGTACCACATTTACATCATTCCTTTGATTGAAATTGGAAAGAGAGTAAAAGAATATAGAATCTTCTAGAGGAGAGGGGAATTCAACTTGCCTATAGAAGAAAGATGGAAATTCTAAAATTTTAAATAGTTGAAACTTTGGATAATCTTTTTGGTGTTTCTAGTTTTATTCCCTTTTGATTTATTATATATTCATAGTTTATAAATATATTTTTGTTTCAGAAACGAAACTAATTAATCTGAAAGAAGTATAAATATTAATCAACCACATTTATTGTAGATGTACGGAGTAGCAATGTTTGTGTTGTAAGTGCTTGGATCAAAAAGTTCGTGAAGAAAAATTACAATACACCTTTTGCAATGTACCTTGATTGTCACATTTAAAAATGGAGAAATGTTCTCACACAGAAGAAGAGGAAATTATCAAATAAGCTTTTCATTAATCAAGCTTTATCAGAAAAAATTAATGGAAGAAAACTAAGTGAGAACTTGGTCATGTTTTACTCACCTTATTTCCCACATATTTTATGAAAAATAAATTCATATAAGGGTTAATAAGTTATGATAATATAAGTTTTGATATAATAAGCTCTTATAAGTTCTAATAAGGGGTGATAAGAGTTTTATAAGTTCAATTTACAACACTAATTAAGTCTAGATAATTTCAGGTAAGTTTAGATGAGTGAAAATCAAATAAATAAAAAACACATGCACCATTTATAACAATCGAAATTGTTAATAGTCATAGTACGAAACTTTCATGAGAGAATAAATTAGAGTAAGCAAGGGAGAATACAAGGTTAGCGTAGTAAATCATAAGCCTTATGAGTTACGGCCCATTTGGTAGCCGGTAATAAATAAAAGTGGTAATGAGAATGAAATTTTAAGTGTAAATTATAGGAAATTTAAAGTTAATGCAATTGATATAGTATATATAAACCGATTTTAGGCTTCAACTATCAGTTTAAGCTTTTGGCTGAATTGACCCCCTATCATGGTATCAGAGTCAGCGTGACACAAAGGTCATGGGTTCGAATCTCATCCATCCTTCCTTTCAAAGTGAAATTTAAGCGCTGGGTATGAAGAGGGTCTATGCCGCATCCACACTGCAACCCCAAAGGGCCCTCATGTGAGGGGGTGTGATAGAGTATATAAACCGATCTTGGATTTCATCAACCATCAGCTTTTGGTTGAGTTGGTCCTCTAATAGCAATTTCATCTTCAAGCATGTGTTTTCTTCATGTTTCTTCATTACCATCCATGAGAATAAAACTCGATTTTTCTTACAAATTTACATACAAATTCATTACCATTATTATTACAGTATCATTTATGGTCACCTACCAAACAAGTCGGTACTTTCTAATTGTTAATTTTGGAATCACTTCTATTTAATTTTATTCTAATTCTACATTTTTTTATGATTAAAAGGATCAATATAAAATCAAACATCATTTTAAGAAAAAAAAAATATATATATTTTCTTTATCTGTAATGTAAACAAAATTTTCCTCAAAAAAGTGTAAACAAAGAAGCAACCCTATGTATCTACTTTAACTTTATTACTACTATTTTTTTAAAAAAAAAAAAAAAAAAAAAACTACTTTAACATTATTATTACTCCGTACTTATTATTGTTATCAATTGATAAAATCTTACAGTATTACTTTATTAGTACCCAAAAAAAAAAAAATGTATGTACTATAGACAAGTACTAGTTAAAAGAATTCAATCTGCACTTGACATTTGTACTCCCAATTTAGTTATTGAAAATTAATGTTGTTGCTGTTATTCAATGTACGTCTTTTGTTTTGATACGTAGAGAACTGGAGCATATAGCAAAAAGAACTCCAAAAAGTAAAGTGTTACAACAAAAGTTCTATATATAGATTCTCCACCTGTTTTAAAAAAGAACCTTGCTTCTAAAAAAAACATTATTAGTTTTTATTTTATTTTATTTTATTTGTTTCTTGCATTGCTCTTCCATGATCTTCACCACTAACTGAAAAACTATTCTTCAAAAGAAACACGTATTTAACCATTTATGTGAATATATAGATTTATTATAATCACATGAAAAATGAAAGAATATAATGAAGACTTGTAAAGAGGTCCATAGAAAAAAGCAAGGAACAACAAAAGTTCAATGAATCACGTAATTCATATATAAAGCAATATTGTATGCATTATAGTTTATAGCCTTTGATTTAATATTATGAGGTGAAGTGAATTAAATTAGGAAGCATTTTAATAATAGAGTTGAAAATTTGGATGTTAAACAAAAGATGTCATTATGGAATATGCTCGGGTGGGTGATAAAGTCACAAATATTATGTCTTTGGAGTTTTGAGTTTTCGGATTTTGAAGGCAGTGATATATT